AATGAGGGATCTACTTGTCATGGGTTTGAATGAAGGATCCACTTGTCATGGGTTTGAATGAAGGATCCACTCGTCATGGGTTTGAATGAAGGATCCACTTGTCATGGGTTTGAATGAAAGATCCACTTGTCTTGGGTTTGAATGAAGGATCCACTTGTCATGGGTTTGCATGAAGGATCCACTTGTCATGGGTTTGAATGAAGGATCCACTTGTTATGGGTTTGAATGAGGGATCTACTTGTCATGGGTTTGAATGAAGGATCCACTTGTTATGGGTTTGAATGAGGGATCTACTTGTCATGAGTTTGAATGAAGGATCCACTCATCATGGGTTTGAATGAAAGATCCACTTGTCTTGGGTTTGAATGAAGGATCCACTTGTCATGGGTTTGCATGAAGGATCCACTTGTTTCGGGTTTGAATGAAGGATCCACTTGTTATGGGTTTGAATGAGGGATCTACTTGTCATGGGTTTGATCCCTACAGTGGAATAAGGCCTGGATAGACAAACCAGTGACCCGATTATTTACAGACCGCTGTCATAGCTAGAATATTGCTGAGTGAGGCGGTAAAACAACAAACAACTGATCCATAAACTAACAGTTGATTGAAGAGTCAGAACAGTAGGACTTTCTTTGAACAACAAATACGGTCTTTACAAGACATCCATCGCTCAAAACTAGCCCAATTCCAGAAAATGCCATAAATTCCTCACCGACGAAATTCCATCAATTGTCCGCCTTTTAATCTGTTACGGACACCCAGCAACCGGGAAAACACCACAGGAATCCCATTCACTCGGAGCTTGATGAGTGCGCCTCACCCCAGCTACGCTATCTCGGGTTTATCAGCGTTGCTGTCCGGACTCGCCGGGTGAGAGCGCAGCGCCACCTAGCCAGAGGGCGACTATAGATGGCGATATCGCTGGACAATACCCGAAATATATCTACGAGCTATTGTGTGGGCCTCAGCGTGCTGAAATACTGGTATTTGTTCGTTCTCCAAATGATAAAGTCTCCATGTTTGCTTCATGTGCCGAGACACAAGCTTCAACACAATCCAAATGTTCCAGCGATGTATCAAACATGTGTTTCAGAGCCTTCTTGAGTTGATGCAAAGTAATCGGACTTTTAACAAAAACAAAACTAATGGTTGATGAAGTGAGCATTCATTACTTCGTACACATGGTACGATGACGCAGAATCATCAGTCATAGGAATGCCTCGCAGTTTCATCTGTATCCCATTAATACTTTTGTGTCCGCCGAATCCATGGGTACAATGTGTGAAGCCCATTTCTGGGGCCCCCCGCCGTGATATTGCTGGAATATTGCTAAAAGCGGCGTAAAACCATACTCACTCTATCGGATCCACATTAGTCTTCACTATTTCAGGCAGGAGCACGGAGAGACATCGGGATGTTGACGGCCAAACCACGGGCTAAGTAGCTGTGGTGCGATGACACAATAGTCTCTCATAACAGTGCAACAGGTCAATCAAAGTCCTAGCGCCATTAAGTGTCGTCTCGCCTCAAGGTTTGATGCGGCCTATACAGCTTTGTCATCTAAAATGGGTCCTTTACAATTATTTTATAACGCTACAGCTAGATTACTTAATTATTTGGTAAACTGTGGTCACGTGTAGGTGTTGCGACTGTGACTGTTAATTAATTCATGCGCAATTAAACCAATGCCGAATGTGTGTCTTCCGATATCAAGGATGAGAAGTAGTGTTCTTGTGTTTGTGCTTATAATATTCACTTCACCAATTCCTTTACATTTTTTGTACCTGCACACGTAAAAGTAGTAGTAGAATTCAAAGAATATATTTGGCTATTTACTTTCCACTTATATGAAGATAATGGCACTTTCCTTTAATGATTTATTTTGTGGCTCACGGAACCCCCGGAAACTCTCAGATAGTTTATTCACTGACTGATACGCCAAACCTGACTCCAGACCGCGACCACACACGGCGCGGAGGAAAGCGCGGGACTTGATGTGATGGCGGAAAAAATGAAAAGGGAAGGACGGTTTGTGAATTTCCAGAAGTCTAAAATAACATGCACAGCATTGTTTATACTCGCAATTCTCTATCTAATAATATGTGGTGAGTGTGAGCAGTTGCGTGACATCCGCACCCCCACCCACACTGGCAGAAAGTCCGACTGACGCAGGCCTCAATCAGCAGTATGGACACAGTGGTCTCCAATGTACTGGATTTCTCACTTGAAAAAGTGAGTGAGTGAGGTTTTACGCCGCTTTTAACAGTATTCCAGTTACATCACGGCGTGTCAGCTTAATGTGGGAGGAAAGCCCGAAGTGATGCAGGTCTCAGACGTTTACCACTTCGGTGAAACCCACGAGCACGGGTATGGTGCTGACAAACCTAGAAACACAATCGGGGCGAACCGGGATTCGAACCCACAATCATAGGTTTCTGGCGTACCCAAGGAACGCAACTCTGCACAACGAACTAACTTGAAAGAAATACTAACCTGCCCAGTCTTAGCCAAAATACAAGAAAGGTGCCTCAAATCTCAAATATTGCCACTATACTACCGGGCAAAAGTAAATACACCCATGTTTGATGGCGGTTAAGAATTAAACAAATGGTTATTCGATGGTATTGTATTTGATACAGGTATCACAATTGTGTTGCGGACCTTATATCTGAGGTGTTTCGGTGCCCGTTTTAATCCTATAACGTTTTGATAACGTTTGTAATTCACTGGTCGAATCCAGTTTTCAAATGTATACTTGCTTTCGCCCTCAGTCAGTCTGTCTAACTCTCTTGAAACGAATGGGATGGTTGAAAAGAACAAAATCAAATCCGTTTTTCGGGTGAACACTTATTATTCAGAATAATTTCCCAAATGTTTGCATATTAATTTTGTTTATTTGTCATTGTGAGTGAGTGATTGAGTGAGTGGTGTTGTTTTTGCCACATCAGCATTTTTCAGCTATTCGCGGCTATACTTATGGTTATTATTGATACAAATTTCATCTTTCGAGACCGTGTGCTTCATGAGAACTATGGATATTGTACATAGGACTTTCAATATAAAATACCACAGTTAAACCAAGCTATCAGGTGAATTCGCCGAAATTAGGAAAGGTTTATACGGACAGCGACAAACGCCAGACGGCTCCACGACATAAACTCATGTTCTTTGGGACAAATGTGCAGAGTTTGGCATATTCAGCATTCTTTACTGCATGTGCGAATCCCAAAGGGCCCTCCCGTCACGGTTATCGCCTAAAATAGATTTTTCAGAGACGAGAAAGATCTGACTCAGTGGAAGGAAAAGGCGCGTCAATAAAATGAAAATGATAAATTTAGTATTATATGGAAACACACAGCGATAATTTAATCAATATGAAGTTATCAACCCAAATACAACATAACCTTATAAGTTCTTTTATATCCCAGGACCCATGAACATCCGGGTTAAAGCAGGTCTTCGGCAACCCATGTTTGTCGTAAAAGGCGATTATCCTTGTAAGAGGCGACAAACGGGATCGGGTGGTCTGCATGGCTCGCTGACTTGGTTGACGCATGTCATTGTACCCCAATTATTGTACCTCGATTATTTACAGACCTCCGTCATATAGCTGGAATATTGCTGAGTGCGGCGTAAAACAACAATTCAATATCAAGGGGTAATGGGGTATAGCCCAGTGGTAAAATTGCTTTGTTCGTCATGCCGAACGCCCGGGTTCGACTCCAAACGTGGGTGATGCACCTGTTCTTGGCATCTCCCGTCGTGATATTGCTGGAATATTGCTCAAAGCTGCGTAAATCCCAACTGACTCACTCACTCTATATCCCATGAACTATAACAGGGACTGACATAACAATCGTATTTCGTAGGGGCCTGATCTTTCGCGCTACAATCTCCAATAGTTTTGGGGGAAATTTCTCGCCTGCCGCCAAATGTCGTAGTCGGGTTGGTATTATTATATATGGATGTTTGAACTCTATTATGACTATATCACCCAGGTCCACGACTACGCCCAATCACTCCGTCTGAAAGACATTACAGACTTATATTTACGCACTATGGCTCGATTGAACTAATCATTAGAGTCGCCGGACTTTCAATCTGTGGACGAAGCCATCAAAACATAGTCCCGATGGTAGATATTGCAGACATGAAATGAATTTGCTTTTCCAATCCTTTTAGAGTGATGTTTTGTTAAAAACTTGATGTGTGTGGAAAATCGACAATGGCCGAATTGCAAATGTCAAGCCAAAACGAAAATTAAGAAAAACTTGTTTGGATGGCGGTTTCTTTGAAATGATTATGCAAAAATGTTATTGTAAACATAAAACAAGTTTTAACACGTGTGAACGCCAAGACGGAAAGACGCTTGGAAGATTATAGTAACAAGGGGCTTTTTGGTTAAATGTATGCAACGCTTTATCTGCTATAGACCACATTATGACCATAAAATCGAATTCAATTTCGAATTCTCTGTTGGTTAAATGTATCTTCTTTGGTTTGGGGCGACTAGTATATATATTACGTTTAGCGTCTTGGGTAAGTGAATGAGATGGGTTTTATTTCGCTTTTAGAAATAGTCCAGTCCTACCACGGCAGGGGACGGCAAGATGGGTTTCACACGTAACACGTGAGTGATTGAAGCCAACATGTCCATCACATTACAGCCCACAATATGCTGATCCGGGCTTGGAGTAAGGCAAACTAGCTGCCAGTTTTACAAGACACGACCCAGTGTGTCAGGGTACGATCTTACAACAACGCAGCCAGGTGATACTTAAAAATCGGCTTTGCCCTGGTTAGACCAGGCCATTGCTTAACCTTGACCATCTAAACCTCATCTGATCTAACATTTACCTACTCTGCCCGTCTCACTTTAATCTAATCAGACATTCCACAGCTTCGAATGCCTCACCTTCTCGTCTCACATTGCCCAGCTCTGCCCGTCTCACCTTCTCGTCTAACATTGCCAAGCTCTGCCCGTCTCACCCTCTCGTCTAACATTGCCAAGCTCTGCCCGTCTCATCCTCTCCTCTAACATTGCCAAGCTCTGCCCGTCTCACCCTCTCGTCTAACATTGCCCAGCTCTTATTCCTCAGTTCTGCATGTCTCACTTTCTCGTCAGTTCTGTTACCCCCCAGCTCTGCGTGTCTCACTTTCTCGTCGTCAGATCTGTTATTGCCCAGCTCTGCATGTCTGACTTTCTCGTCGTCAGATCTGTTATTGCCCAGCTCTGCATGTCTCACTTTCTCGTCGTCAGATCTGTTATTCCTCAGCTCTGCGTGTCTCACTTTCTCGTCAGTTCTGTTACCCCCAAGCTCTGCGTGTCTCACTTTCTCGTCGTCAGATCTGTTATTGCCCAGCTCTGCATGTCTCACTTTCTCGTCGTCAGATCTGTTATTCCTCAGCTCTGCATGTCTCACTTTCTCGTCGTCAGATCTGTTATTCCTCAGCTCTTCATGTCTCACTTTCTCGTCAGTTCTGTTACTCCCCAGCTCTGCGTGTCTAGCTTTCTCATCGTCAGATCTGTCATTTCCCCAGCTCTGCGTGTCTCACTTTCTCGTCGTCAGGTCTGTTATTCCTCAGCTCTGCATGTCTCACCCTCTTGTCGGATCTAACATTTCACGGCTCTGCATGTCTCACTTTCTCGTCGGATCTAACATTCCACGGCTCTGCATGTCTCACTTTATCGTCGGATCTAACATTCCACGGCTCTGCATGTCTCACTTTCTCGTCTGATCTAACATTCCGCGGCTCTGCATGTCTCACTTTCTCGTCGGATCTCATATTCCGCGGCTCTGCATGTCTCACTTTCTCGTCGGATCTAACATTCCGCGACTCTGCATGTCTCACTTTCTCGTCGGGTCTTACATTCCACGGCTCTGCACGTCTCACTTTCTCGTCGGATCTAACATTCCGCGACTCTGCATGTCTCGCTTTATCGTCGGATCTCATATTCCACAACTCTGCATGTCTCACTTTCTCGTCAGATCTAACATTCCGCAGCTCTGCATGTCTCACTTTCTCGTCGGATCTAACATTCCGCGACTCTGCATGTCTCGCTTTATCGTCGGATCTCATATTCCACAACTCTGCATGTCTCACTTTCTCGTCAGATCTAACATTCCGCGGCTCTGAATGTCTCACTTTCTCGTCGGATCTCATATTCCACAACTCTGCATGTCTCACTTTCTCGTCGGATCTAACATTCCGCGACTCTGCATGTCTCGCTTTATCGTCGGATCTCATATTCCACAACTCTGCATGTCTCACTTTCTCGTCAGATCTAACATTCCGCGGCTCTGCATGTCTCGCTTTCTCGTCGGATCTCATATTCCACAACTCTGCATGTCTCGCTTTCTCGTCAGATCTAACATTCCGCGGCTCTGCATGTCTCGCTTTATCGTCGGATCTCATATTCCACAACTCTGCATGTCTCACTTTCTCGTCAGATCTAACATTCCGCGGCTCTGCATATCTCGCTTTCTCGTCGGATCTCATATTCCACAACTCTGCATGTCTCGCTTTCTCGTCGGATCTCATATTCCACAACTCTGCATGTCTCGCTTTCTCGTCGGATCTAACATTCCGCGGCTCTGCATGTCTCGCTTTATCGTCGGATCTCATATTCCACAACTCTGCATGTCTCACTTTCTCGTCAGATCTAACATTCCGCGGCTCTGCATGTCTCACTTTCTCGTCGGATCTAACATTCCGCGACTCTGTGTGTCTCATTTTACAATCGGACCAACAAGAGAAGTGACAGTATTTATACATCACAAATTTACCGGCTAAATATTGAATTTATCAAAGCTACTCTGCATGTTTCATACTATTTGAATTTGCATACATATCACAATATCCGTCTTAAAATTATTATTGTATGCTAAATGTATGCGTATACAGCAGCATACGTTTCTTGATACCACAAGCATCACAAATGCAATATATATATAACATATATAATTCCATATGATACATTTAATTGCGTTTGGTTCCTAGCCCAACAAAGACAAATCAAATGCTGGCCAAACTATCTCGCTTTTTCTGTCATAACGGACCGTGGATAGCTGCCAATTTGATGAGCCGCCTGTATCCAATATCTGGAGGCACGGGTGGCCCAGTCGTCTAAGGCGCCGCAATTCTTTATGCAGAGTTGCGTCCCTTGGGCACGCTACTAACCTATGATCGTGGGTTCGAACCCCGGTTCGCCCAAATTATGCTTCTAGGTTTGTCAGCACAATACCCATGCTAGATGGTTTCACCAAAGTGGTAAATATCAATTCGGGCTTTCCTCACACGTTGTGACATAACTGGAATACTTTTCAAAGCGGTGTTAAAACCCACGCTCACTCACGCTACACAATATTCGCTCACTTACCATGATTATAGTATAAACATGTATACTGTGAGGCGCCGTTTTACTATGTATTCCCTATTTTGTAAAGTCAATAAATAATTAATGATACCAAAACATATTCTTATATGACAAAATTTATGATATAAAAAGTAAATAAATTTTAATATCTAAAAATGCATTTGTGATATCTAAAAATCAGAAGTATTGTTTGATACCACAAATTCGATTAGTGATATCAACAATTAATTGTCTTATATCTTATAATTTGTGATACAATAATTCATTTTGTGAATTCTGAAAATAATGTTGAATAATAGTTATCATTTAATCGAATTTGTGATATCAATAATTCATCGTTTCATATTAACTGATCTGTTGGAGTTCAGGGCACCGTTCCTCAAAGCGACCGTAGAGCTACGACTGTCGTAAGCCTAAGCTTAATAATGAGAGTTACGATCATCTTAGCGCTACGATCGCTTTGTGGAACGGAACGGGGCCCTGGATTAGAAGTGCTATATCAGCAGATATTTCGAGATTATTAAATATATTGAAATCTATTACAAATAATTCACAGATAAACACAAAAATATCTATTAGCTATAAAGTTACAGAGTGAAAGACGTGACAATGTCATAATATCAAGTGTGGTGGGTACCAAGAAGTGAATTATCTGAGGTCATAAATTCATTTTCTAGATATCAATAAGTAGTTTCGAAATTGTAATATCTGTAAACTAAGTTTGTGATATAAAAAATTGAATTTCGTGATTTTGTAATTCATTTTTAATATCACTTACTCTATTTATTCATGTCTAAAAATACATCACTACAAATACATTGTGATATCAGTAGGGAATAGGGGCAGTCGGGTAGCCTAGTGGTTAAAGCGTTCACTCGGCACGCCGAAGACCCGGGTTCGATTCCAGACATGGGTACAATGTGTGAAGCCCATTTCTGGTGTCCCCCGCCGTGATATTGCTGGAATATTGTTTAAAGCGGAGTAAAACAACACTCACTCACTCACTCACTCACTCACTCACCCAGTAAAGAATAAAGACCAAAACAGCGTTCACAGACTCCATAGTGTGGAAACTATTCAGGGCTCTACTTACCAGCTCGACGATACACATTTCGTGTTACATTACACCCGTACTTAGATGATGGACATATCGCATAACTTTGCACCTACATAACAATGACGGTATTTGAAGACAGTGCATAAAGCAAGCATCGAAAAGGGTGTTGTCATAAAAACAAATATACCTAACAGTGAATTTGCATCGTGTGTGGTACACGTCTCAATGTTTACGACGAACATAAGCTTGAATAACAAGGGAATGTCTTCATTCTGCAGAGGTCCTCGCATACATATACCATATGTAGAACAAAACCCAAGCAGGTACATAAATGAACCATAAAAGAAACCCGAAGAATGACTGCAGGTGTTGATTCTCGCTGGCTGTAGTCAAAGGGAGGCGACTCGTCTCCGACTGTTCGCTAAGCGTAGAACTGAACGTAGGTATCGTCTTGCACGATCATAAATACCGAGCTCTCGCAGAATTCTCTGGTTGGGCCTGGGTGGTCTTGGATGGGATAGACTCAATACAACGCTCCTTGAGTTAAAAAGACAAGCAGGCAGCGATTGCTACACTATATACAGAATCAAGACGTTTCTAGAGGATGGCTGTTTTTAACGCAATAATGCTGGCTGTTCTTATTTGCCCAATCTCTTTACAAATAGGAATCGCAGACTGTGCTCCTATACATCCGATACTAAAGAAGTTAAAAGAATAACAGGAAACGACCACGTATATGACTACAGATGGAACGTTTAAGCAAGGCAAGATGCAAGCCGGGCACCCTTAGGATGTTCCTTGGGGACATATCTGGTATTTCTTAAGATCTTGTTGTAACCGATTTCATAGGCGAATAACATGTTGCTTGGTAAAAAGAATGCAGATCGAATAGAGAAAGGGCGCGAAATACTGCTTTATAAAAAAGGCAGGCTGTGTCGTACAAAGAGATGTTAAAAGATGGTACTTGTTGTTTCCCTGCCTGTCGCCAAGTGGATAAAACAAGGACTGATCGGCTCGGAGTCTACAGTCTAGATCTGGCTGGTGTATATATTAGACAGTCTAGATCTGGCTGGTGTATATATTAGACAGTCTAGATCTGGCTGGTGTATATATTAGACAGTCTAGATCTGGCTGGTGTATATATTAGACAGTCTAGATCTGGCTGGTGTATATATTAGACAGTCTAGATCTGGCTGGTGTATATATTAGACAGTCTAGATCTGGCTGGTGTGTATATTAGACAGTCTAGATCTGGCTGGTGTATATATTAGACAGTCTAGATCTGGCTGGTGTATATATTAGACAGACTAGATCTGGCTGGTGTATATATTTGACAGTCTAGATCTGGCTAACGTATATATATTAGACAGTCTAGATCTGGCTGGTGTATATATTAGACAGTCTAGATCTGGCTGGTGTATATATTAGACAGTCTAGATCTGGCTGGTGTATATATTAGACAGTCTAGATCTGGCTGGTGTATATATTAGACAGTCTAGATCTGGCTGGTGTATATATTAGACAGTCTAGATCTGGCTGGTGTGTATATATTAGACAGTCTAGATCTGGCTGGTGTATATATTAGACAGTCTAGATCTGGCTGGTGTATATATTAGACAGTCTAGATCTGGCTGGTGTATATATTAGACAGTCTAGATCTGGCTGGTGTATATATTAGACAGTCTAGATCTGGCTGGTGTATATATTAGACAGTCTAGATCTGGCTGGTGTGTATGTATTAGACAGTCTAGATCTGGCTGGTGTATATATTAGACAGTCTAGATCTGGCTGGTGTGTATATATTAGACACTCTAGATCTGGCTGGTGTATATATTAGACAGTCTAGATCTGGCTGGTGTATATATTGGACCACCTAGATCTGGCTGGTGTCTATATTGGACCACCTAGATCTGGCTGGTGTGTATGTATAAGACAGTCTAGATCTGGCTGGTGTATATATTAGACAGTCTAGATCTGGCTGGTGTATATATTAGACAGACTAGATCTGGCTGGTGTATATATTTGACAGTCTAGATCTGGCTAACGTATATAATATTAGACAGACTAGATCTGGCTGGTGTATATATTGGACCGCCTAGATCTGGCTGGTGTATATATACTAGTATTAGACAGTCTAGATCTGGCTGGTGTATATATTAGACAGTCTAGATCTGGCTGGTGTATATATTGGACCACCTATATCTGGCTGGTGTCTATATTGGACCACCTAGATCTGGCTGGTGTGTATATATTAGACACTCTAGATCTGGCTGGTGTATATATTAGACAGTCTAGATCTGGCTGGTGTATATATTAGACAGTCTAGATCTGGCTGGTGTATATATTAGACAGTCTAGATCTGGCTGGTGTATATATTAGACAGTCTAGATCTGGCTGGTGTGTATATTAGACAGTCTAGATCTGGCTGGTGTATATATTAGACAGTCTAGATCTGGCTGGTGTATATATTAGACAGACTAGATCTGGCTGGTGTATATATTTGACAGTCTAGATCTGGCTAACGTATATATATTAGACAGTCTAGATCTGGCTGGTGTATATATTAGACAGTCTAGATCTGGCTGGTGTATATATTAGACAGTCTAGATCTGGCTGGTGTATATATTAGACAGTCTAGATCTGGCTGGTGTATATATTAGACAGTCTAGATCTGGCTGGTGTATATATTAGACAGTCTAGATCTGGCTGGTGTGTATATATTAGACAGTCTAGATCTGGCTGGTGTATATATTAGACAGTCTAGATCTGGCTGGTGTATATATTAGACAGTCTAGATCTGGCTGGTGTATATATTAGACAGTCTAGATCTGGCTGGTGTGTATATATTAGACACTCTAGATCTGGCTGGTGTATATATTAGACAGTCTAGATCTGGCTGGTGTATATATTGGACCACCTAGATCTGGCTGGTGTCTATATTGGACCACCTAGATCTGGCTGGTGTGTATGTATAAGACAGTCTAGATCTGGCTGGTGTATATATTAGACAGTCTAGATCTGGCTGGTGTATATATTAGACAGACTAGATCTGGCTGGTGTATATATTTGACAGTCTAGATCTGGCTAACGTATATAATATTAGACAGACTAGATCTGGCTGGTGTATATATTGGACCGCCTAGATCTGGCTGGTGTATATATACTAGTATTAGACAGTCTAGATCTGGCTGGTGTATATATTAGACAGTCTAGATCTGGCTGGTGTATATATTGGACCACCTATATCTGGCTGGTGTCTATATTGGACCACCTAGATCTGGCTGGTGTGTATATATTAGA